CAAGGAAAAAAATCCTAATAATGAAAATGAAACAAGTTGGAAAGTTAAATTGTACAGGCAGACATTATATACCGATGCAACATGTGGAGACCAAAATCCCTCGCCAGAGGTCCTTCAGTTCTTAGAATCTAAACTCAATATGTCGAATGGCTCCCGTAAGACCAACCACAACAGCAACATATGATGCATGAAGGAACATAACTGGGATAATGTACTGAATCCCAAAGTGGCAACGGTTGCTCAAAGGCTTTTCAATGTTGATAACTGAATCAATGATATTCAATTTTATCAGCAAACAACATTAGAAGATTTAGAGAAACACAAGAACAGTAGATCCATTAAATGAACAATCATGTACAAAGTTAGCTAGGTGAACATAGTCTATGGTATCCACAATAACGGCAAACAAAAGATGTATTTGTCCATCAACTTGCAGGTAAGTAGTCTGTCTATTGAGATAAAAAAAAAAAAATATGCTAATGGTTAAAATGTCAACTAATTAATTCCTCAGCCTAGTTTCTTGTATTACATATGCATTTCAGTTATTCAAACAAGAATAACTTGAACTCACTGCCAAATTGACAACAAATATGATGTGAACATAACTTGAAGAAATACCTAAATGACTCAAAGATACCAAAATGAACAATAATAACATGATGAAGATATTATTGGCAACTATTTTGCTGGTACGTCCAGAAAAAGCAACAGCTGCAGAAGCATCTCAAGATTATTTTACGCAAGGAACTCCTCTATGCATCAATCAACAAAGATGAGGAGAGAAACCATGAAAAGTTACACTGACAATTAATTTAGCCAATGAGCTGGATTTTCGAAGCAGCGTGCGAGCAATAAAACAGTTTATTATACAACCATCTCATCTTAGCATCACCTAAATCCTAGTCCCACTGAGTAGATCTGAGGGTCTTCAGATATTCGTTACAACCCGACATACCACAAACTTGTTAACAACCACAACAATGCTTTGTTCACTCCCTATTCATACGCTACAAAGTAAATCATAAATGAACACATTAAAATAATCATCAAGGTTTCCAACAAAAAAAGCAAATGAATGTATGGATGTTCACGTAATCCAAATAATAAATAACAAACTACACCAGCACATTTACTTTGTGAACCTTACATGCTGCACTTGCAATCCAGGGCAACAGCGCCAGTGAAATAAACAAACATAATCTAATTGGTGGTAAACGCCTCCTGAAAAGTCACATGCATCGAGAGAGAGCCATTAAGGTCGCGAGACTGATTTGCATGTATCTTGTAGGTGGGGAAATAGAATGATGACATAGATTACAAAATCCACTATAAATATTTAATGTTGTATCTTTAATACAACATTATTGTTTTTCTGAGTGAGAAAATATCACCAACCAGTGCATTTGGACACAGAAGCCTTTGGAATAAAAACTCACGAACCAATAGCATCTATCAGCTCAGCTTCTATGACCATCACAGAATTTGTGCAACTGAAACTCTTAAATCGAGTTTGTATGCTAGCTAACATTCACTAGCAGCAATGTATCATGAAATTTGCATTATTCAGATAGTTGCACTTACTTAACAAATATGTTATATAGTTGGAAAGCCTGTAGAATACGACAGCTCAGCAGCAAGCCAAATCCTAGTGGACCTTCAACCCAAACTGGGAGCAAACATATATTTGGATCGCCAAGTAGCATTAGAATATAGCAGAAAAGAAAAGGCAATCAATAGACCAACTACATAAAGAAACTAATACAGTCACTTCAAAATATAATTACCAGCCCATATATAGCATGAATTCCACCAATTGCGCCTTCTGATTCTAAAAAAACCAAGGGCCATCTGTATCACACCCAACATGAATAATGATACAGTTCAAATGAGAAGGACACTGTAAAAGTGGCAGTTAAATTTGAGCTACAGATTTTCAATACATACCACAGTTGACAATAAGAGGTTAAAGCTGGCAAAAACTTGTATTGCAATGAGCCAAAGGTTTCTCCCTTTGGGTCGTGCAATTTTATGACCTCGATAGGGCGCAATAACCTTTGCAAGAAGTCTGTCACAAAATGTAGACAGAAACAAATAAATTCAAGCATCCCAATAAGCTTTGTGTATTATATATGCCACTGGAGATAATATTATAACATGTTCATGTGATTTCAATGACTCTTTAGAATGGGAACTAAGTAAATGAAGTTTCCCACAAGAAACTTGAAGGGGACGAAAAATGGAATCTAACAGTTCATACGTAAGCAAAAGTTATTACAGTTGACCTAAAACTAACTCAGGTTCTTTCATAAACTCTCGGCACTTCCAAACAACATAGCTATCTATTTCATATAATTCTCATTCTTTCATTTCTCGGTGGAATATCCAATCCAATCGTTTTCAACTGAACAAGCTTCTTCCCACCTGAAACAACTACTGGTAACAAGAAAATCATATCAAGATCCCCAAAAAGTAGCTAAAGCAGAGTTATTCCTAAATCCCAACCAATATAGCAATAACCATTAATTAGTTAATTTGAGTCAGAACTCAAATTATACACTCCTAACAACACCAGATTTTCAACCAAGCCTGAACTCTCAATCCCATAAACGCATACATTGCAATAATCAAACCAAAACAAAATCACAGAAATCATTCTGCATATAAATTCCTCAAATTCAGCATTATATCCTCAGAACCACATAAAGAACCAGAATCAAATCATTCCCTCGAAGAAAGGGCAAACAAACTCCCCAAAAAGTGCATTTTCAAGCTAAATCTCACTCCGAATCAGCTAAACCTTATCAATTGATCTCTCACACAGAACAAAAAATACGCGGAAAAAGAGATTGGGGAAAAGAAATTACAGTATAAAACAGACGACGGAGATGGAGAAGGACACGTAATCGCTCGGGCAGCCTCCTTTAGCCGCACAAGCCGCCATTAATATCGGATTTTCAGCTGCTCCGATGGGAATTTGGTGCCGGAAAATGCTCGACGAGAGATCGCATTGGAGATGGAGTGTGTGGAAAAAGCTAGTCAAACTCCATGTGATCCTTGTTTGACCTCACAGTCTTTGTAATTTTCACTACAATCCTTTTTGGGCCGTTTAAGATTCAAACAAAATCCGATCATACGACTTTTTGGCCCACTGGACCAATGCTATCACGATTTGGGCCTATAACTCTATTAGTCTCTGGGCTCTGATTAGCTGACTAGTCCATCCACAACCCAAATATGAAAAAATGAAGGGAAAAGGACACTGCCTAAATTTTCTTCCCAAGGCATATGCTTGGGACAAATAAGCAAGAATAATTGAACAGCATATTGAGGCAAGGTAAAATAATAGGAAGAAAAAAAAAAAAAAAAAAAAGAATAAAACGAAAGGCTAATGGGTTATCTAATATGTTTTCTTGTTGAAATGGATAGTGGTGTGTAAATTTCGACTAGAATATAAATAATCCATTAAAATATATATATATATATTCGAGTTAATTTTTTTTTCATATGGGTTAGGTTATAAGTTCTCGGTTTTATAATTATTGTATATTTCGATTAAACGATTAAACTAAGTAGTTATTTCAGTTCGATCAGTAGTGGATAAAAGTTCAGAACGTTCGGTTTAGAACATTGGCGAATTCAGTTAATTTGGTATTATAAGTTCGGTCAATTCAATTAAATGAAATCAATTAATACAAGTAATTAATCGATAGTTTACCATGTCAAATTTGAAATTAAATCTAGTGCACGAGCATCATAGAATAGAGCATAAGGAGATATTAATGGATGCAAAATTCTCACACTTGGATTAAATAAATGAAGTAGAAAAATACTCCCACTAGTTAAAAAGAAAGTTGCATGGAGTTAATTCCTCTTAAATAGGTTGGGAGCCAATATTCAATCATTCACTTCTTTGATTTCTCACTTGTAATTAGCCAAAAGGAAGAACTTGTTAGTGGGCATTTTTTTCCTTTTTTGGGCCATAAGGGTGAGTGATTTATTTATTTATTTATTGAAAAAAAATTCACCCCACTCCCAAAAGACATACCTTAAAGTTTTAACTAGTGTTGATTACATACAATAATGTTCACCTACCCACGGTGGGCACATGTTAATATGCACACTGTTTATGTAGCATGCACATATTGATGATGTATTTTTTTGAACATTTTAACATCATCAACGTGTGCATGCCACATAAGCGGTGTGCATATTAAAATGTGTCCACCGTGAATAGGGGAGCATATTACTCTGATTACATATGAGGGACTATTGTTGATTTCTATTTGTACAAAGCATTAATGTTGCACAATTGAGATGTGTGGATAGTTATTTTAGATGATTACACCATCATTAATTAGTTTTCATCACAATTTTTTCCCTCATGTTTCAACTAATGTAAGTTGGAACTTAATTCATCATGCACTCATATTCCTTTTTTAAAAAAACTACTTGTACAATTATTTTGTACAACATTTTATGACCACGACGTGGCATGATTGTTATCCTCCGACTCGATAAAACACAATTAAGGACCTTGAACAGCATCTTAAGCGAATTTGACTCCAACACCGACGTGACCCAAAGTCATCCCGGTTCGCACAATAAACTGGTACAACCATAAAAGACCGAAGTGATCCCTACCCACCGAGGTCACTCCGAACCGAGGTCATCACCTCCTAAAGCAGGTGACAAGGCGCCTACACGCCCCTCTCACGATCCACGAGAATTTTTATCATTTACGTAGGGCCCACTGGCTCTGCCGCCCATCAAAAGTAGCTTTATCGGAAGAGCATCGCACGGATCCCGATGTATATACCAAAAAAGTTACTATAAATAGCTAGCTGATGGTACTTGTACGGGATTCGATTCTGAAAAAACCGAACTCTTTTACAATGAAACACGAAACAACTCTCAAAGGCTTTTCACCTCGGTTCACCTCGGACCGGGGCCATTGTTGAGTTTTTTACCCATACTTTACGTTCGAATTGATCATCATCACTAACTAAATACAGACCTAAATCGTTGTTAGGAATCGCATAACAACAATGATGTAGATAGTTAAGATGGGAATAAATGTACGGTTAAGATTTGACTCAATGATTGTGATAATTAGTGTTGTCAACTATAATTGTACATGTAGTATTGCCCTTCTTTTTTTAATGAATTTCATTTTACATGTGCGCCAAATGTAAATATATCAAGAGATATCTCAATGCACCATTTATCGATAATTGTAGATAACTCCATAATGTGTATCATTCGATTAATCCATAGCAGAACTATGACGGCACAATCCATGGGAAAGAGATTATCCATCATAAAATGGTGCCATGAATCTATATGTATAAAAAAAATTATAGAACCCTAAGCTTAATCAATGATAAAATTTAACTTGATTAACACAACTTTAGTATGTCAATTTTGATGCATAAATTAGAAATTGGTTGAATTGAAGAATATGATGAGTATTAGTGAAATAATTTCATGACTATGTAATAAAGTGGATAAATTGGAAATGATCCCTCCACTTTTGAGCTTGAAAAACTTTTACACAATGTTCAAAATGTGTCATAATAATATACTATTTTGTTGCAAATGTTAGTGTGAAGTGAAGTTGTGAAAGTCATCGTTAGTCAATAGTGCTAACCATGTTACACCCTTGAATTTTAAAATATTTATTATTAATAAAGCCAAATTAAAGGTATATATATATATAAAGCTAGCTAATCTAAGTGTTTCTGGGCTGCCAGGCTGCCACCTTACCATCCAGATCAAGATAAAGACTATTTGATTGTCACATAATTAATTATTAAAGTGATTATTTAATTATTAAAAAAAATAAATTAGTGTAAAAATATTATTGTTACTTTTAAAAGAGATTTAGTTAATTTGACAGAAATAATTGAAGATTAATTAAACCAAAAAAAATAATCAGTGGTGCTTAATTAACAATTTGTTAATTAGTGTTATGGGCGTTCTTAAAAAGTTATTACACATGCAAAACTAGAAAAGGGGAAAAAAATAAAAAATAAAAAAAATATGAACAAAAAAGGTTTTGATTTAAAGAAATTAATAAGAACATTCTTGTAACTCTAAAGTTTGAGGACAAAATTGAATTTAGAGGCGTGAAAATCACGCTCCAACAAGGAGGAGACAACTAGGGTTTCCAACTTGGCCTTTATTATGGGCTTGTCCTTTTCTTTTTTTTTTTCTTTTTTTTTTTGATACATATGGTTCTAGCCCCACTATACAGAGTTACAGTCAATCCCTAGCCCTAATCCCCGGCCCCACAGTGATTTTGGAAGTTAAATCTAAGACTTGCAACAATGGCTTTCAGTTAGTCCGAAGCTGAACACTCTTGGGCGACCAGCGGGCTGACCACTTCAGGTATCTGCATTCTGCTCCTCCCAGGTTTCGATCCCGCCATCCGGTGCTTGCAAGCGAACTTGCGGCCCCCCATCCCACCAACTTGCGAACTTGCGGTCCTTTTCTTATTTCATATGTTGGTTTCCACATAATAAGGGAACACTACAAAAAAAAAATAGAGTTCTAGTGACGAATTTTTTTGTCATTATATCTATAATCATTGTCACTATATCTATTGTCGGTATATCTACAATTGCTGTCACTATATCTACAATTATTGTCACTATATCTACAATTGTTATAAATATAGTGACAACATAGTGACAAAAAATTCTTTACTAGAACTCTATTTTCTTGTAGTGTAAAAAAAAAGAGGTGAATAAAGAAACAAGGAAAAAAATTGGATGTTATCAGCTAATTTTACCGAACACTTTCATCATATAAATTAGCTTTTCAGTCATAAGTCATAAACTATCAACTATAAGCTCAAAATTTAATTAAAAGCTATAAGCTAGCTTATCAACTAAGTTTATTACACGTAACCTTAAATGAGAAAAGTCGTGCAATGACCAATAGACCTGAATTTAGTGTAACGTTTGATAGATTGGTACATTTTCCTTTGTGTGTGGTATTCATGTGGGAAATTTGTGGAAATATTCAGCATAAAGAAAAATTTGTGAATCAACCCTTATTAATCAACCATGTACACTATCACATGTATGAAAGTTTATAAGATTCTTACTAATTAGAATTAATGATTGGGCATCTTGAAAATTAAATAGACTTAATTAATAATATAGTAATGGGATTTTTAAATGATTTTATTATTATTGTTTTTTTTAATGTAGGTGGGTTATGGGTATAATACTTGATGGTTATTTATATATTCTCGAACCTTTACTACCATGAAATTAAAAGCCTAATTTTTTGGGTATAAGTACTTTTGGAGCCACTACTTATTAAACTAGAAGGTATTTCATGGAGGTCATGTCGAATTGTATGGAATGATAATTTTAATCCAGCATGAATATAATTTTTTAACACCAATTGATGTTATAATATTTCAATGGTGTAGCTTCTGTTGGAATAAATTTCCACGAAAATGTTCCGTTTGAATGAGTTTTTCATTAGAATTTTAGATGAAATTTGATCATTCCAAAGGTTATTATTCCAACGGTTTTTTACCGTAGAAATTTTCATTGGAATATGCAATTTCTATTGAATTCCCATCTCCACTCATATTTCAACAGTTGAAAAATCTACTGTAAGAATCGTCAAAATCTAACAGAAATTCCGATTGAAAACTAATTCCAACTGAACAATTTCGTTGAAAATTCGTTGGAATCCATTGAAAATTTTCAACGGAAATAAATAACATCGGATTATCCATTGGAATCGTCATTGAAATATATTTCTGTTGGAATTTCATCATTTTTTTGTAGTGTTGATTATAATTAAGTACTGAGCAGAAAATAAATTTTGATCTCAGATCAAATCTTTTGAAGAAGACTATTCGAAGTTGAATTTAAAAAAAAAAAAAAAAAGATGATTGATCACAATAAAAATAATATAAAA